TGTGAAAAATTAAAATTTTTTAAAGAACATCGTATCTGGAGAAAATTTAACATCAACAAAAACAGACAACTAAAATGTGCAATTTTTCAGACCTGCTAGAAAAATCTCGAGTTATTAGGCAAGCACCAGGAGAACGATGCTACCATATTTTCTACCAAATGACTTCAGACTACAAACCGGAATTAAAGCCACTGTTAAAGATTGATAAACCACTTAAAGATTACTATTTTGTGGCACAAGCTGAACTCACTGTTGATGGCATGAACGATGCAGAGGAATTTCAGCTTACCGACGAAGCTTTTGACATCCTTCATTTCACACCAGAAGAAAAACTAAATTGTTACAAGTCAGTTCAATGAAACTGAAAATAACTTTATCGGTTCTTTCAATAAAACTTACTTTTTTACTTTGATCAAAGCAACAATTTTACTTTGTTAATTTAGACCAATTCTTCTTCATCCTCAAAGCTAATAATTTTAGTGGAAAAAACAGTAGCTTACAACTGTCGGCTTTCCCGTTCCAAAGCTAACCTACATTTTTCAGGTTAATGGCTGCACATATGCATCTTGGCAACACCAAATATAAGCAACGTCCTCGAGAAGAGCAAGCTGAGCCAGACGGTACCGATGAAGCCGAAAAAGCAGCTGAAATGTATGGTGTTGCTGTGGACGATCTTTTGAAGGCCTTCACTCACCCTCGAGTTCGCGTTGGAACCGAATGGGTGAACAAAGGACAAAATGTGGACCAGGTTACATGGGCAGTTGGAGCTATGGGAAAAGCCGTTTATGGCAGAGTTTTCAACTGGATTGTTAAAAAGTGCAATATCACTCTCGACCAGAAAGGCATTCCGCGTGATTATTTCATCGGTGTCCTTGATATTGCTGGATTTGAGATTTTTGATGTAAGTTTAAGTCTCACTTCCTATATCACTTTCTCTTAACTTGAACAACAAGCGACCAGTGGTGGTTAAGGATAGTTTTCTTTGGTTCAAACAAAGTAGTGAGTACGTTAAAAACGTAGTTAAAATCAAAACTTTTACTTTAAATTTTCAAATTTCGAGAGTATTATTACATGACCACTTTACGGTCCCAACTCTCCAGACAGCAACAAATTTATTTTAACAATTGCTCGACAGAGCATTTTAAAATACTAAAAATGATGTTTGTTAAATATACTAAATTATAATCTATAACACCGTTGTATACAACTGTCCTAGTGAAACCGTCACTGTACTTTATTCTCCAGTTTTTAGCGTAATTTCTAATTACCAAACAGATAAAAATTATCAAAAAAAAGTTTCATTATTTATTATTAAGTGTTACGCACTTCATGGTCAAACACTTTCCATTTAAAAATTTTTTCATGAATCCTAATAAGTCCCAATTACTTGATTTTTCGAGTTAAACAGCAGCTCTTAGAAGAACTACTACAATACTTTGCAAAGCGCTTAAACGGACTCCTATTTTAAAAGGCTTTACCACAGCTTTACTTTTTGAGTCAGCATCTTACGCTTCTCATTTTTAAGTGTCCCCAAACACTGCGAACTTTCAACAAATTTCCACCTTATTTGAATATAGCTAACATAGCTGCCAGAAATGCTCCCTCCACTTTCTACTCACATATTCAAAATATGCAGCAACAGTTTAGTAGCTCAGAAGTAATTTTTTTTTGAAAGTCACTGGCTCAGCTTTTTTTCTAGTCAACAAAAGCTGGAGAATAATTAGATGTCCAAAGAAGCTGTCAACCAAATATATAATAGGACTCCCTACACACTTGTTGGAGCTGTCAAAAAAAGATTTGTCTTTTATCAAATATGCTTTACAAAACTTAAAAAGTTTTAAATTTCTAATAAATTGAAGCAGAATTAAACGAACAGTTTGTACATTTAGGCGAAACGTACATCCCAGTTAAAAATTTCACTTAGAATATTATTTTTTCATAATAATAAAAGTCAGTGGCACTTTTAAATGCAACTGCACTTCCAAAAAACTGCGAATTTGTAAAGTGTAGTGCAGGTTCATTTAGCCAAGTAATTCTTACCGGCAGTAGAGAAAAAAAAACCAAAAGCTGAATAACATTTCGGTCACCTGCAGAACTTCATTACGATAATATGCACAATGATACATTGATCAAACCAGGGCCATATATGACTAACACGTAATAAGAAAGTGAGTTTCAGTTCAACTCATTCGAACAGCTCTGGATCAACTTTGTCAACGAAAAGCTGCAACAGTTCTTCAACCACCATATGTTCATTTTGGAACAAGAAGAATATGCTCGCGAAGGCATTGAATGGAAATTCATCGATTTTGGCCTAGATTTGCAAGCCTGTATTGAGCTTATAGAAAAACCGTTGGGAATTATCTCAATGCTTGATGAAGAGTGCATCGTGCCGAAGGCCACTGACATGACATTAGCTCAGAAACTTAATGAGCAGCATCTGGGTAAACATCCAAACTTTGAGAAGCCAAAACCACCAAAAGGGAAGCAGGCAGAAGCTCACTTTGCTATGAGGCATTACGCTGGCCTTGTTCGCTACAATGTTACCAACTGGTTGGAGAAGAACAAAGACCCACTTAATGATACTGTCGCCGCCTGTCTTAAAGAATCGAAAGGGAATAAGTTGTTGAATGAGATTTGGGCGGATTATGTAACGCAAGAAGAAGCATCGAGTGATAGAAGTGGCACAAAAAAGAAGGGCAAGAGTGGTTCCTTCATGACGGTGTCGATGCTTTACAGAGAGTCCTTGAACAACTTAATGACTATGTTGTACAAAACGCAACCTCACTTTATTCGATGCATTATTCCAAATGAAAAAAAGAAATCTGGATTGCTGGATGCCTCTCTTGTTCTCAACCAGCTGACCTGCAATGGTGTATTAGAAGGGATCCGAATATGTCGCAAAGGGTTCCCAAACAGAACATTACATGCCGATTTCAAGGAACGTTACGCGCTTTTAGCTGCCGTCGAATCTAAGTCAAGTGAAGATGCGACACAGTGCTGTACTGCTATGCTTGCAAGGCTAGTTAAAGAAGGAAGCATAAAAGAAGAGCATTTCAGAATTGGGCACACAAAGGTAAGACTTGATTTAATAGTAATTTAGCAGATAAACATCTCAATTCTGTTTGATCTTTTAATCTTTCGCTTATACGACGACTAATATCTGTTAGCGACCGTAAATTTTGATAGTAGTCTTTGCAGATTTTCTTCAAGGCTGGGGTCGTGGCTCATTTGGAAGATCTCCGTGATGAAAAATTAAGCATTCTTATAACAGGACTGCAAGCACAGATCCGGACTTTCTATCGACAGGTTAATAATACATCATTTTTTAGAATAACATATAAAATTGAAAATATGTAATAAGAATATAAAAAATTCTAGATTGAGTTTGCTGAGAGAAAGAAACTCGCTATGGCTCAAAAGTGCCTACAGAAGAACATCAAACTATGGATACATCTCCGTACTTGGGACTGGTTTAAGTTGTATGGACGTGTGAAGCCGTTGCTTAAAGCAGGAAAAGTACAAGAAGAAATGGAGAAACTTCAAGAAAAAGTTGTTCAACTGGAATCCTCGCTAAGTGAGGAAGGAAAGAGAAGGCAGGAATTGGAAGAAGTTATTGCAAAGGCTAATGCTGAAAGGGATTCCTTGTTAGCGCAGTTAGCAGATTCCAAAACTGGTACCGCTGCAGTGGAAGACCGACTTGCCGCTTTACAAGCGGCCAAAGCCGAATTGGAAAGAAATTTGACGGAAGTTAATGACCGCCTTTCCGAACAGGAAAACCGGACCTCGAACGTAACGAGGGATAAGAAGAGAGTTGAGGAAGAATGCGATAAATTGAAGCGCAGTATACAGGACTTAGAATTACTGTTACGAAAAACAGAATCTGAAAAATCATCTAAAGACAGCCAGTTGCGCGCAATACAAGAGGAAATGAATCAGCAAGACGAAACTATTGCTAAACTGAACAAAGAAAAAAAACACCAAGAAGAGGTAAACCGGAAACTTTACGAAGATATTTCTGCAGAAGAGGACCGAAGTAATCAAGTGAAAAGGCAAAAAGAAAAACTTGAACTACAGATGGAGGAGCTGGAGGAAATGTTGGAACGAGAGAAACGCAAGCGAGCTGATGCAGAGAAATCAAAGAGGAAAACAGAAGGCGAGCTTAAACTGAGTCGTGAAACCAACGAAGAATTAAATAAGAAAATTCATGATATGGAAGCCGGACTGAAGGCTAAGGAGAGTGATGTCCAGGTAATGGGAGTCAAAGTTGAAGAGGAGCAGGCTAATCTTGTTAGACTACAACGGCAGATTAAAGATGAGGTAAACCGTGTACACGAGCTTGAGGAAGAATTAAGAAGTGAACAGCAGGCAAGGTCTAGGGCTGATCGCGCCCGTGCTGAATTACAGTCTGAATTAGAGGAAATGAGTGATCGTCTTGAGGAACAAGCTCGCGCTACTAGCATACAAATTGAGTTCAATAAAAAGCAAGATGCTGAGCTCGCCAAGCTACGACGAGATCTGGAAGAAGCAAATATGAACCACGAGAATTCGTTAGGCGCAATGCGGAAAAAAACGATGGATTCTGTAAGTGAACTGACCGAACAGCTGGAAGAAATGCAGAAGCTCAAGGTTAAAACCGAAAAGGAGCGCGTGAATCTGCAACGGCAGTTGGATGATTCTGTTGCAATTAATGATTCCTTAGTAAAACAGAAGACAGATCAGGAAAGAATTATCAAAGGTATGGAAATACAGCTCAGCGATTTTCAAATCAAATGTGAAGAGCAAAACCGACAGCTTCAAGACTTTGTGTCGCTGAGAGGAAGGCTGCAGAGTGAGAATAGTGACCTCAACCGGCAAATTGAAGATCTTGAAAGCCAGGTAGCTGTGCTTACTCGAGCTCGCGTTCAACTTACCACGCAGTTGGAGGATGCGAGAAGGAATGCTGATGAAGAAACGAGAGAAAAACAAATTGTGAGCGTTAACCTCAAGAATGCTCAACTTGAAATTGAACAACTCAAAGAGCTGCTGGAAGAAGAGGGGGAGTCTAGAGCTGAAATTCTTCGTCAGTTAAGTAAGGCTAATGCGGAAGTAATTCAGTGGAAGAACCGATTTGAAGAAGAGGGTCTTGTTCCTGGAGAAAGGTTTGAAGAGGTGAAACGAGCACAAGACACTACGATACACGAGCTACGTGAAGCACTCGACTCCGCCAATGCGAAAATTAGCGCCTTGGAAAAAGGGAAAGCTCGCTTGGCGAGAGACGCTGAAGATGCTCAGAATGAATGTGCTCGCCATCTGACAACAGTCACACAGCTGGATAAAAAGCAGAAAGCATTTGATAAGATTATTGATGAGTGGAAGAAGAAGGTGGATGACTTGAATAACGACTTAGACATGGCACAAAAGGATGCTAGAACGACTGCGACTGACCTGTTTAAAGAAAGAGCTGCGACTGAAAATTTGAATCTACAAGTTGAAGGACTGAAAAGAGAAAATAAAGCTCTTTCCCAAGAGGTCAAAGAATTGCAGAGTCAGTTGAGTGAAGGCGGCCGATCGGTTCATGATATGCAGAAAATCATTCGTCGTGTCGAACTCGAAAAAGATGAATTACAACACGCACTCGATGAGGCTGAGGCTGCGTTAGAAGCGGAAGAGTCCAAGGTAACAAGGGCCCAAATTGAAGTATCACAGATTCGAACTGAAATTGAAAAACGAATTCAAGAAAAGGAAGAAGAATTTGAGAACACGAGAAAAAACCACCAACAAGCCTTAGAATCAATGCAGGTAATCTAGAATTTTTTAATCACTTTAAAAGACGGCTAGAAGTTCGCCTCTTTAAAATCCTTTTGAGCGTAGACCTGAAAACTTTTTTTGTTTAATAATTTTTAATTTATATTAAACATCGTATTGAAGTAATTTTAGGCAACTTTGGAAGGAGAAAACCGAGAAAAAGCGGAAGCTGTTCGAGCTAGAAAGAAGTTAGAGACCGATGTCAACGTAAATATTTGAAAATATTTTTAAAGAATGTGTATACACAGAGGTAGTTGATTCGTGTAAACTGGTACGGCTTTTTGCCCGCCAGTATTTCGAAAACCGACTAGGCATTAGGAAAAGCTGTTTTGATCTAATTTTTTTTTGGATGACTTATCTATTACATTGGTTGCAAAGTGACTTCGAGAAATGTTTAGATGCTCTAAAGATATATCTTTCTCACTTATCGAAACGGTTGTCGTCTGTAGTCCTGTTAAGATTACTACTTTCATCCTCAACAATTCACTTCAGGAACTTGAAATAAATCTTGATCATGCAAACAAAGCCAATGCAGATGCGCAGAAAGCAGTCAAACGATATGCTGATCAAGTTCGAGAACTTCAAACTGCTCTGGAAGAAGAGCAACGAAAGAGAGAAGAGCTTCGGCAGAGTTATAACGCTGTAGAAAGGAGAGTTGCTGTTGCACAAGCTGAGAAAGAAGATCTACAAGCTCGACTGATACAGGTCAGGAAATCCGCTCATGTTGCTAGGCAATATTTAAGACTATGCTGGAAGTCGACTGACTGTTTTGCTTGATATTTTTTACCAAAAAACGTTCCAATGATAATCAAGAGGGGTTAAACTGTAGTAAAATTAAAAAGAAATTTAGGCAGAACGAACGAAAAAGCAACTGGAAGCAGATGCTACGGAAAACCGTAACCAAATTGCAGAACTCAGTGCACATGCCTCAACTGTAAACTCAAATCGATCTAAACTTGAAACAGAAGTTCAGTTGCTAAGGGTGAGATTATTTGTCGTACATAAAATTGTTTGCTTTTTATACTTGCAGGTGCTTCCGTCATGAAGTATACTGCGCTTGAACTCATCATGGAGTTTTGTTCCGCAGAATCCAAAGTGAAATAAAACAAAATAGAGAGTTTTCAGGATGCAGAAATTATATAATCCAAAATTCGAAGATTTTTAAGAGAATTAATATTAATCGTTTGCTGATCAGCAGCAGTTCAAGTATGGTTTACATATTATAGTACCAAGAGAAATAGAATGCTAACAGAGAGTAGTTACAGAGTGATCTCGCTTCAGCGCTTGATGCACTGAAGGAATCTGAGGATAAGTTAAAGGCCGCGGCTCTTGATTCCACTAGATTAAATCAACAGTTGCGGATAGAGCAAGAAAATAGCCAACATCTAGATAAAATGAGGAAGGAGATGGAACTTCAAATGAGAGACATGCAGCTTCGACTTGACGATGCCGAGCAAGCAGTGGTAAAAGGTGGGCAGAAGACTGTGACAAAGTTGGAACAACGTATCAAATCTCTAGCAACAGACCTAGAAATTGAACAGCGCCGGTATCAAGAAAATGCTAAAAATACAATCAAGCAGGAAAGAAAGGTAATTTAATTTGAAAAATTGTATTAACGTAGTTTACCACATCATGTCGGATGCCTTGGTCTAAATGTTCTATAAAAGAACTGATTTTTACAGATACGAGAAATGCAGTTCCAGGCGGAGGAAGACAAAAAGCATATCGATTCACTGAACGATTTAGTCGAAAAATTACAGAACAAAAACCGCGTCTTCAAAAAACAACTTGATGAAGCGGTAAAGATTCTTTCTTATCTAAAGTTTTCCTATACTGTGCCAGGTGTCAGTTGGAAGCGAGACAATTTTGGAATTGCAGGAACAGCTAGCGAGTGTAAACTTGCAAAAATATAAGCAAATAATGCTGGCTCTAGAAAATGCCGAAGAAAGAGCCGATGCCGCCGAAAATAGCCTTATGAAGGTGCGAAGTCGAACTCGCAGTGAGATTTCAAATCGAATAACCCGACAATGGAGTAATACTGTTCCTGACGAGACGGCGAAAGTTGCTCAGTGATTAAAGTTTATTTACCAAATAATCTTTAACTTACATAGAAACTTGAAAACCAAAATTACTATTCTTACTGTGCTCTTGATAAAAATGGTAAATAAAAACGAAAAACGTTTTTTGAGTTGTACACTGAAATCTTTTCAAGAGGAAATAATAAACGTGACATTAGTAAAAGTCTGGATGCTCTAAAGTTACTCAGTTTAGTGCAGCAATGACCAGTAAGTTCTTTCCTTTTATTTAGAAGCACATCATGAAAAATCAAAGAATAAGCTTTTAACAAGAGCAGTTTATAGCAAAATGTGTGATATGCAAGCCAAAATAGTTAATATTTTAAAATTTCTTGAATAATGGAGAAAATCGTAAGCTTGAAATATGTGGCTGGCATTGTAGCAAGAATTCACAGGAAGTATCTTGCTTTACCAGTTAGTAATTACAAATTGAATAAACAGATAGAATTAAAAGATTGTACAGAGAGCAACCAAAAAATGATAATTAACGGGTGAAAATAAGCGATGGACAGACTATTAAAGTTAGGAAAGGCAAAAAACAAATTATATATGAGCACAATATGTTGAACGCATGGAACTTCCGCAAAAGAACCAAGAAGGCTGCAGTTTAAATAAGGAGATGTATTCAATCAACAGAAAGCTGTAATTTTCGAAATTAACAAAGTAAGAGGAGAAATTGCGAGAAGTCCAAAAAGAAGAAAATAAGACTCAGAAATCGATCACCGTTGACCGAAGTGGCTAGATCTATCCGATGTTTGTCCGAAAGCCACTGGAGCAGTTAATCAACTTGCGACGGTTAGGTGATCGTCACTGATATAGACTACGAAGCTTGAGTCACCACTCAGCTCGCTCTTTTGCTGGTATATCTCCTCAACCGTTGATCTCTAGCTTCACTGATGAAAACAGGAAGTGGAAGCCAACACAAGCTCCTCTCGTTTTGTCGGCTTCGTTAAACTGTCATTTACTAATTTCATATCGGATTGTTTCATACCACTTTACCAAAACAATCATCTGCTTTTGCCACTTTAGCTAGAGTTTTCATACTCGAAATTTCTTTCTGTTAGATTACTTTTATCGACAAGAAAACAGTTTCAAGTTTGCTGTTGTTTAAGGGTAGATAAAAAAAAA